TAAAATTTATTTGCTCTAGTGTATTAAAATAAATAATCTTCACTTGCTTTTTACATTTTAAAGAAAATACTGTTTTCACAATGTTGCAATACTAGAGTGGTAAATGGTAATGGACAGCTTATAGAATACTTTGTATTTTTTTCAGAAGAGTAATGACATTAGCACTGAGTTTGACTTTTTAGTCGTAATTGTTGAAGTAGTGAAAGCCTACTTCAGAATTTACAGCTATATACTGAATAATTAATAAAATCTTTTTCAACATGTAAATATATTTGTTTAAGAAATCAAGAAAAAAACGCAAAAGTTAAATTAAAAGAAAAGCATTGAACTGTTTTAATAATCCACAATAAGAGAATGTGATGCATGTATAAATTGCCATTGTTGGACATGAGAGGACCAGGTAGATGACGTATAGAAAGAGAAAGGGAGAGGTAGACAGACAGACAGAGCAATAGAATAGGCTCATACTGAGTAGAGATACACAATTGGTATCAAAAGAAGTTATCTGCAATAGACATTATAATATCAAATTATACTTGTTTGAAATACTAGGCAATTTCACAGAAAGATGGGCAAATAAATGTCATATCCAATACCCTCATTTGCTTAATATTTTCAGAAACTGACCATGATATTAAACAACAATTTATAGAAAAATGACCTGGAAACATGTTTTTATCTCTAGCCTAGTATTAAGTGGTAATTTCATAAGTGTGTCATTTGAACAGCTGATTCTTTAATGTGAAAGAAATCACAGAATATTTACTTGTCAAAACTGTGAATTATAGTAAAAGTTTTTTTGAAGCCTATTTAAATATTTTAATGTTTAAATGAGATTTCAGTTGTTCTATATACTGCTCTTTTTTAAAACAATATGCTACAAAGCATCAGCTAAACCACACAATTTAATCAATAGTGAAAAACAAAAGAGCATAATGATATACCCATTTCATTATAAATGCTGTTTATCATCTAATAGAGAACTCGTCTATAAACAATTACTATTAAATATTAAGATGTGATTATATTTGAACTCCTACTGAGTATTTCAGATAAACTCTGTGTTTTTATAATGTACCTTCTGGTTCCAAGTTTTAGAGAAATGCATATCTGTATGTCTTGGCTACTTTTCTTGTTGCTGAGACAAAATACCCCACACTCACAAGTTAAGGGAGGAAAGACTGATTTACCTTAAGGTTTGTAGAGGTTTCAGTCCATAATTGGATGGCTCTAAGGAATGATGATTTGATAGAGGGACATCAAGAGAAAAGTTCATGGTTCTCACAAGGAAGCAAAAACAAGAAAGAAGAGACCTTAACAGTATCTTTCTCTCCCTTTTGTACTGTATCAAGGCTGGTTGGATTAGGGAGGTGCTCAAACAAACACTGAACTAATTTAGTAATCACACACCTTAGGTCCCTTGTCACATATTCTAGATCCAGCCGTCTGTGCAAAAGCCTCATGTAAGGCAGACAAGGCTTTAGGGGGAACATCTAAACCCAAACAATAATACCATATTTTCTTGTTTACCTAATCCATTGAATATTTTAAAGAACATACTATTTCCTTAAAGGAAATGCAACGTGTTTATCAATGTTTATAAATTAAAAGGAAAAAGTATCCCTGACAGAACTACACACCTACAAATGTTATGCAAGGTTCAGTAATTTGTCAAAAATCAACCACAAATTTTGTTGTGGTCTCATCTTGTACTTCTAAAAAATCATTTTTGATTTGAAGATGTTCACCTGTTGAGGTCTTCTAGTGCATTCTCTGCATTCCTGATGATGGGTTCCTTTTTATCAATTATAACCATTGTACCAATTTTATATTAATACATACTTGGAGCGCAAAGAACAGGTACATGTACACAGCAAGCTTTAATTTTTTCCCTCCTTTCTTTGCTTACCTATTCTTTTTTTTTTTTATTTAAAGAAAAGGAAACGAAAAAAAAAACATGGAGATTAAAGAATAAAAGGGTAGAAAAATAATACTAAATTACAGACAAACAAAAGGTAATAAATTGCCAGTTGATAAGTTACAAATTGTCTTCTTCGAAATGGCTGTTTAGGTTATAGAATTAAAGTATTTAGAATGACATTCAAAAAAGTGACCCTACAAACCATTCTGCTCTATGGCCGAACAAAAGCTCCGTAATATGATTATCAGTCCCACCTATTTGTTTTACATCTCTAAGAGGATAAGGTTAACCATATCAAAACAGAACAGAACATTTAAAAAAAAATAAAAAACTATTTAAAGAAATACAGATTTCAAAGCAAGTCCACTGGAGATCTACCTTATCTAACTGTCTCTAGCTTCTTACAGATAGTTGTCCCTAACTTCACCCACTTTCTATACTTATTGCATATTATAGAACTAATCAAATCATTACAGGATGATGGAGTCTTTTTAGGTCCTCAAGTTCCAAATTAGGGAAGACATTTCCAACTACCATCGCATCTCTCATTCTCTTTGTGATAGCCGTCCCCATCTCTGCATATGCTGAAGTTGAGCTGAAGAAACCAGTCCAGAGTCATTTTAATCAGCAAGCAATAGATTGCTAGAATTTATATTATAATGCTACAAAATAAGCCTCGGGTTTTTCAGGTCTCTTCCTCAGAGTATTTGTTCCTATCCTCTCTGTATTATAGGGAAAACCAATTCATAACAAGACAGCGAAACAATTTCCTAGATAAACATGCAATGGATAAGACTTACAAAACTATAATATAAATGATCTTCCGTAGCTACTATGTTTTCTCTTGTTATTTTCAATAGATTTGTCGACAACACTGGCTTATTATAGTTAAATATACTATCACCTATTTTTATAAAAACTTATCTTTGACTGCATTGTAGTATTTGAGAGCTGTTACTGATTCATACCAGTATGGATATCCTTTACATCCTGTCATGCTCAGAGTAGTTTCCTCTACTTTTAGGGTTGATTCTAACACGCATACGGATTTCAAATAGGATCAGTCAAGGCCAACCAATAGTCTTATGATTCAGATACAATTAAGATCAGTCATAGTAAGACAATGTAAGTAATACAGGGTTTCAGCTTAAGTCAATAGGAAAGTAAGGATGGTTACCATGGTATAACCTGCTATTTTTGGTTCTAGAGGTCTGTGTCTTCAAATCTGATATGAGTGGACAGACCAGAACAAATTTAATTCAATCTACATATGGCACTAGGACTACTGTGTCTTTTAAATCGTTATACACCATTAGCAATGACCTCTGCTTTTTTTTTTTTTTTTTTTTAAATATAGTTTCAGAGCTGTCTCTACCAAAGACTAGCTTACCGTCTCTGCCTCATGTCTGCTACTCCACTTTTCTGCTATAATTTGTCCACCTTATTCCCTCATTCCATGGTCTGCCCCGTACACTGAGGCCTCTCTGCCACTGTAGCTGTAATCCTGATATCTCTTCCTCTCTTTCTCTGTAATGTCCTTCAGCGCTCTCTGTAGGGTTGGATTGGTGGCCACGAACTCCCACAGTTCCTCCTTGTCTTGAAAGTATCTTATTTCTTCATTAATTTTTAGAGAGAGTTTTGATGGATATATGAGCTTAGGTTGCATATTTTTTTTCCTTCAGGACTTGGAATATTTCTCCCCACTCCCTTCTTGACTTAAGAGTTTGTGTTGATAAGTCTGCCGTTATTTTGATAGATTTCCCGTTATAGGTAACCTGCATCTTTTCTCTGGCTACTTTTAATATTCTGTTTTTTTGGTGGATTTCTGGGATCTCGATTATTATATGCCTAGGCGTAGATCTGTTTTGGTTGTAGGTAGCTGGCGTTCTGTATGCTTCTTTTATCTGGATATCATTTCTTTTTGCTATACATGGGAAATTTTGCTTTAATATCTCTGTGAATATTTTTTGTATTTCATTTTTGGATGTTCCTGCTTCCTCACTCACATTCTTTATTCTTAGGTTATGCATCTTTTTATCATCTTCCAGTTTTAGAATTGCTTCTTTCTGGTTCCTTGTTATTTTTAAGAGGCTTTTTCTTTCACGTTCATAAGCCCTAAATCTCTCTTCAAGTTTCAGAAGGTTGTCTTTAGTTTCTGTCAAGGCATTTTGCCAATATTCAATGGAGTTTTTAATTTCCTGATTTTCTCTTTGGATCTGTTTCATGTATTCTAAGTTACGCTTAAATTCTTCAGATGCTTCTCTTTCTTTTCTGATTTCCTCAGTTCTTCCATCTGTGTTCTCTTGGGCAGGGCTTGTCATTTCTTTAATTAATCTCTTTATATCTTGCCTCACTTGGATCAGGAGTACATCTTTAAATTCCTCTATGAGATCATGTAAATACTTTTTAATTTCGGCTGATGCTGAGTCGAGCAATGGATGGTTACTGTGCTTGTTCTCTTCAGTGTTTAGTTCTCTTGGGTTTAATTTCTCCTGTTGAACAGCTGGAGATTTTTTTTTATTTTTATCTCTTGTCATGTTTCTGGTTTCTTTCAGACTGTCCTGGAGTTCTCTGGCCCTCTCCGAATTGCTTAGGGCCTTTCAGAAGCGTGCCGGCTTGAGTTTTTGCTGTCCTCCCCAATTTGCTGTTATCTGGGGTAGGCTGGGATGCAGGGGCGGTACAGTCTAGTCTCTAGCCTCTGTGTCAGTTAGTTCATAAATTAGGCTGTACTTTCTGGTTGTCACTGAGTTGTGACCATTCTGCATCCGCCCATTGGGCCCCAAGCAGAGGCCTGATCTAGCCCCAACAGCTCCTGCCAGTTCTCCCTGAATCAGAAGCAGCTGGGTAATGGCACAGGATTCTGCCCAGGTCCCAGCCGTTCTCTTCCAAACCTCTCTGTGATAGGAGCTCTAGAAAAGCAGATCTGCCCAAAACCAAGATGGCTCCCACTAAGTTCTCCGTGCGGAGCTGAAGCCAGCAAGCAATCAGACTCTGCCAGGACTCAAGATGTCTCCCACCAGCCCTCCCTACAGGGGGTCCTGGTGATGTCATCAAGCTGCGATTTCTGCCGCCAGGCTAATATGTCTGCACCAGATTCTGTGTTATTGATTTCCCCGTGGTGGCCGGCCAGCTGTTCTCTGGCCAAACCCAGCCGCCGCGGGGTTTTCTATACTCACCAGAGTCCGGTGCAAGTCCCCGCTCCGGGACCGCCACACACCAAGTCGTCCACTTTTCCCCACCTCGCGGCTCAGCGCTGACTGGTCAGATTTCTGTGCACCGTTTAGATTCGAAGCGCCAGAGCTCTGTACATCTGCTCTGGTGCAGCGGTGCCGAACTGGCTTCCGCCTGGAATCTCGATCTGGGTCTCAGTTTCCGCAGTCCCCAAAAGCAACTCAGCTTTTCGTGTTGGGTCCACGAGTCTGTTCGTTGATTTAAGGGCGCGGGATTTGCAGCCTCCGGTCTCAGCACGACTTTAAATCCTCCCGCTGTACTCTGCTTACCTATTCTTAATGTCTTGATCCTTCCATCTGTGGATCTCTTTCCATTCTGCCAAAGTCTGTTTCTGAATGATAGTAGTCATCTTAATTCTGCTTTTTAAATTTTTATATTTTGCATTTTTACTTAAGACAAATCCTGAGGTATTTATCTTTGCATGTCTTATTATTTCTGAAAATTTTAAAGTTGTAGTTTCACGGTGCATCCATTTTCCTAAAAGTTACTAAACTTCATTCTTCTTTATGGCAGAACAGTGTTTTAGCTTGTATAAATAGCACATGTTTTTTTATCTAGTACTTTTTTGTAGGAATATAGGCCTCATCTAGATTTAGTTATTATGTGTAGTACTGCTATAAATATGGATACACATATATTACTTTAATATAATGACTTTATTTCAAGATGTTACTATCAGGTGATAGTCTGGTCAAATGAAATTTCTAGCTTTAAATTCTTGAAGAACCTCATATAGATTTTCATAGTGGATGTACTAGGAAACCTTTCCACCAACAACATACAGTTTTTTGTTCTTTTTATCACATCATGCCTCACCAGCATTTAATATTTAATTTTTTGAAGATAGCCATTTTTCTTGGAATAACATGAAATATCAGTGTACTTTTAATTTGTATTTCTATTATGGCTAGAAATGCTGAATGTTTTCATGTGTATTTACAGGCCATTTGAACTTCCCCTTTCAGAAATGTTTTTTTCAAATTAATCACCCATTTTTATTGGGCTTTTTATTTGGGGAAGTTGAATTTTTTAAAAATTCCTTATCTATTTTCGGCATTATTCCTATTTTCAAGGTAAAGCTGACAAAAATTTCTCTATGCCATAGTTTGTTTCCTTTGTTGTGCAGAAAATTTCTAGTTTGTTCTAATTATTGATTCTTGATTTTATTTCTTGAGCATGTTCAAAAATTATTTACCTATTCTCAGTATTTTATTGAGGATTTTTGCTTCTTTGTTTGTTAAACTAATTGAGTTTCAGTTTGTTGGAGACAGAAGAATTTTTACCTGGTTTGACAATCAAGAAATGCTAGCTTTTAGGAATTACTTGGGAAATCTTCCTTCCTTTTTAATTTAAGAAAATGTTTAAGGAGTACTAAGAAGATGTTTATTGAAGTTCTTGTAGCATTCAGAGGTAAATCTACAGGGTGTTTCATTTTTCTTAGTTGGTAGGTTTGGATTTTTTTTTTCTATTGCTGCCAAAATTTAATTCTCTTTTATTGAACTTTTCAGATATTTATATCTTCTTGATTCAGTGCTAGTAATTCATCTATGTCTAGAAATCTATTTTTACTAGAGTCTCAAGTGTATTTGAACATAGATTTGAAAGTATTTACTAAAAATCTTCTGGACTTTTATGATATGACATGATTTTTCCTTCTTATTTTCTATCTAAGTTGGTGAGTGCTTTCCTTGTTTTGAAAAGTTTGATTAGAAGTTTATCTGTTCTATTACTCTTCTAACATAACCATTATCTATTCTTACATTTTTGCATCAGCTTTATATATGTGAGCCATGATCTTTGTAATTGTTTTCTTTATTAGTTTGAAATTGGACTGTCCTCTGGATCTTTCTAGGACCTTGAGTACATCAAATCATTTATTTTGGCTTATGCTGTTTCTCAAATGTGAGTATTAATAAGTATAAACATCCTTGTTATGAGCGCTTTTTTGAGTTCCTTATATTCTGCTATGATTTACTGGCATTATTATTTGAGTCTAGGAAACTTTGAGATTTTTTGTCTGATTTTTATGTGACTATGATTATTTACAAATTTGTTACTTAATATCCAAATGTTGACAAAACTTCTGTGTTTTTTGTCATTGCTTTTTGATTTCAGTGCACTGAAGTTTCAATAATATACATGAGACAATTTTGAGATTTGATGTATACTTTGGCATGGTTTATGGACTACTTTGTAATCTATTTCAGAGACCATTTCATGGGCCTGAGAGAATGTGCATTGTGTTGAACAAGGTTGAAACACTCTACATGTAACTATAAAATCTATTTATTTAAAGGTGTGTTTTAATTCTGATACCTTTTGCTCGTTTTTTGTCTAGCTGATTTGTCTACTTGTGAAAATGGGGTACTGATTTCCCTCTACTGATTTTTATCTATCTGTGAGTGTTCAAGAAACTGAGTATACGGCAATTTGGTGAGTGAACATTTATAGCTGATATATCTTCCTGTTAAAGTGTTCCCTTACATAATATGCAGTGACATTCTTTTCCTCTTCTAATTAATTTTGTTTGAATTCTATTTTATATGCAAGTACAATACCTACATCTGCTTCGTTTATCTTGTTCTCCTGTTGAAGGATATATTGTTTCACATCCTCTGATTTTAATCTGTAGGTTTAATTATGAATTAAGTATGTCTTTATTGCAGCATAGTGTTGCGGGCTTTCTTTCTTTCATTACTTCTTTCTATTCTTCTAATCTGGCCTGCCAGTCTTTGCCTGCTTGCATTATGGTCTGTCTATAGGCAAGCAGGCTTGATCATCCAGCTGTTTTATTAACCAGGCTACTGTCTGCAGATAGTGCTCTGCACATAGTTAAATACAGGCTTTTGTCTTTGTCCTGCATTGAGGTACTTGAGGAAGAGTGTGGAGCACAATTGACCCAGAAGCAAGTTCTAAATTGAGTTCAACTAGGTTTGTCATTGCAGCTTCTTCTACTGCAAGGAAAAAATTCCATGGTTGCTTTCACAAACTCGTTGTCTAAGGTTTGCTGGACAGCTCAGTCCAAGTGGCACTCACTCTCTTACTCCTACAGTCTTTTTCAATCACTTCCCTGAGGCCAGAGTATTGTCTCTAATCCGTTAATCAGGTCCCATCCAGGCCTCCCTGCCTTGAGCAGCTCCAGGCAGCATATGCTGGAGTTTCCCCAATGGGCACCTCTCTGTCCTCTTAGATAGTGCATAGATTGTCTTGTAAGTATAGCACCCATGGCGTGCATGGTGGAATCACAGGAGGCTAAGTATTTCTTGGTTGATCTCCTTTCTCCTGTTCTGTTGCCACCAGATGTGGCTTCCTAACATTCATGTAATGGCCAAGCCAGTAACCTCTATGCCATGGACCTACAAGTACTCAGATTAAGGTCTCTAATCAGAGTAGCACCTTTGTTCTCAGATTCCCATGTGCTGTTCAGCGGTGCCTCACACACTGCTTTTGATCTTTCTGTTTTTCAGAAGCCCTAGCTTGTGTGTCACTCACAGTGATCCGCCTCCTGGCAGGGAGGTTAGAGTAGTGCTGAGCCTATTTCATGGAGCAGGCTGCCACTGAAGTACCAGCTCCCTCCCTCAGGGAGGCAAGTCCTTTCCCAAAATGACAGATACAGATACGCTAGTCCTGAAGTGCAGCGTGTACCAGGATCTGGTGTTAATCTGGCTTCCACTTCGAAACTCTCTGATACTTTTCAGTCCAGTTAGTTTCCCTTACCTTTCTCCCTCTTGTATGTAGCCTCATCTGTCATTCTTACTTCAGGGTGCTTTTCTACAGTGCTGGTTTCGGAGTGTAATACCTGCCTGCCGCCTAGTCACCCGTGCTCTTCCTCTGAACTTCCAATTCTGTAATCAGGTGCAATCAAATATATTGCAAATATATTAAAGTATTTTCAATTTTATTTTCAACAAAAGGAAACGTGTATTGAATATTGTGAATACTGAGATGAGTACTGTTTGAAAATTGGTATTTAAACACTATAATCCGATTGGATTATATTTATATTATGTTATATATTATTTATTATATACATTATATTTATATTATAATTATATCTGTATTATATACTTTGAAATGGTTATCTACAGATTTCTAAAATGTTAGCAATGTTTTGTTTACTTGTTATTAATGTATCTCTGTAACTTTTTGGTTATAATTGTTAAAACAAAAGAGAAAGCTAAAGTTATATTTTTTGAAAATAATGAATTCATTCAATGAACATTAAACAAATTAATCATCATGATTCAAGAATTTATCTTATTAAAATATTGAAATATGTTATTTTATAAATGTTTAAACATAAAAATATAAGAAATTCTTTAAAAAGACAAATATGATGTTAAATATTAGAAATGCCTGCTTCATACTGTTTTGCAATGTTATAATTAATTATCTTTGCAAAAATTTTGGTCATAAATTATGCTCTGTATAATTTTCCTCAGATTATACTTGTTTTCATTATATTTACTGAAATACAGTTTTAGGTATCTAGAGTTGAATAATTTATGTTCTTGAATATTTTATGTCCTTTGAAAATTTTATATTTTAAATCATTTATTGGATATTTAATTTTATAGACATATTGGTGCAGTATCATTTATTTGTACTAGCAGTGATGGTGGAAGGGGCGAGTTCATTTTTCATATAGATAGCTTAATAACATTGATGAAGCTTACCGATAAGGAAGAATAAAACAAATATTAATAATACCTTGTGTTTCAGGTTTGGACAACAGTATCTCATGGAACTTGAAGCTATTTATTAGTTGTCTCACCCAAAATGATACGGAGCTGATTCATGTCTTTGTCATGTCCTGACACAAAACTGGCATCTATGACTGGTTTAAGACAAGAAATTAATGTGACCAAAAGAATTGGGAGAAGAAAACTCATGAGTCTCATTCCCATGTGTAATCCATGATACTGATTGGTGCTACAGGTGTGCATGTTTAGGAGATTAATGGATAACTTCCAATGTTTAATTTTTGATTGTTTGTTTTATATGTGCAGTACCATGCATTATTCAAATCTAACATAAACGAAATAGTTCTTATACAAGTATTTAATGACTCATCAGAGTCATCAAAATATTTGAGATCAGCAAGAAAAGATAATACCATGAAAAGATTTAAGAGCAGAGCAACTATTTAAAAGAAAGCAGAGAGGTATATAATTAAAAATGAAAAGAATTGTTTAAATTTTGAAGTGAATCAGTTGATGAGCATTTACAAAATCCAAATGATTACAGCATATCAATGAGAGGAAATAGGTGATCTAATGTGGCAAAGTACAGTAAAGAACTGCAGTGAAAACTTGTAAAACATGTAACATGTAACCAACATGGAAGTAGAAAACAAGACATGTAAGTATATAAGTAAATATAATATTGATCAAACTGATATTTGTTGAGAGCTTTATGTATAACTGTATTAGGTTTTCCATGTATTTTCTTCTCCACACTTTCATGGATGAGTACAAACTGGATTTTCTCCTAGTTATATCTGTCCACACAGGTGGAGATGTTCATCACGGGAGATAAATTCATCATAAGCCGGAGTAACATGTTAGCAAATAAGAGCAATTTAATAAACTTGACTGATTGTCTCTCTGCACCACAGGCTACCTATTCTAACAAACAAATTTGAGTGAACTATTTAAGTTATTTTCATGTCCTGGAATCATTTCCTAAGTTTCTACCTGCAATTAAATTTATACCTGGTATTATAGGTATGAATAGTATTTAGATGGATGAAAATGTACCTATTTACTTGAAAATGAAGAAACTAGTATAAAACAAAGTTTAAAAGATTAATATAATCAGTAACCTACTGTTGTAAAGATTATAAAACATAAAAATTTGGAGATATATTTTCAAATTATAGAACAATGTATTTTTCAGAAAAAAAATTTAATATATGTTAGAATTATATATTATTACTAACCAAAATGTGATTTCAAATATTTGAGTGTATTATTTAAATTAAATAAAATTTCAAAGTGCATTACTTGTACCTTGATAGAATATAATTTTATCAGTATTTGTCTATATGTAGTGAACACAATTCCAACATGGGACATAAAAAAGTATATCATACAGAAAGATAAATTGCAACAATATTTAATGTATTCAAACAAAATAATTACAGCCCAGAAGTTATAAAATTATTTATATGTATGATAAAATGGAAAATGAAAACTAATGAAATATTAAGAATGGTAAAGCAGAAATTAAAAATATTTGTAGGTACCAAAATTGTTGGAACAGAAAATTCCCAATTGAAATTATTTTCCAAAAACACACTGATAAAATAAGAAAAAAAAGAAAGAGATAGTTTATGGCTTCATTTGGAGAGTCTGTGATTCAAATATGATGCAGGATACTAATGATGTTTCTGAAGAGCAGTCATTATAATTGTAAAACTCATATAAAACTACAGGAAAAAATAGGATGTTTGATGGTATTGAAATGCTTAAAATAATTTCATAAATAAACATTATACACTGATACAATCCTTATTTTCAGTGCTGAAGATGAAATTTTGGTTATTGCAAATGCTCACATTCTGGGCAAGTACTTTGTCACTGAAGTACACTCCCATCCTGTGATATCACTTTTAAATAAAAATGACAGTATGATATTTAATGTTGTAAATATTATACAAAAAAGAATTCACTTGTTTTATGTATCTTGAAATAGATGTATATGGATACAGAAAATCAGTCTGATTTAATTTATAACATTCTTTAGCATGTAATAAGTAAATGTTAAAAACGTTTAAAGATAAATGACTTAAAATAATACTAGAGCATACAGAATACTGTAGAGTAAATCCAGCTTTGTTTGACAACAAAGCAGTTCAAATTGCCAACGCAGTTCCCTATATAATACATTATTTTCTGAAAAGCAAGAGAGAAGTCTATTACACATTATACGAACTTTCCATTTTGTTGTTTGAAAGCACATTTCAGTTTAATTTTTCATTCAGAATCTTGCTAATTGTGGGTATAGTGTGAATCATTATATGTTTGAATATGCTAGTATGATAGTTACTGACTGTGTCAACTTGGGTGAGAAACACCCAATTAAATTCCACCAGTGTAACTCTGAGTGTGGGGGAAGGAATTTTCTGAAGAGTGAAGACACACCGTGGGCAGAGCCACGCTAATTGTAGGCTTTTCCCTCTAGTGGAATCAAAGGCAAGGAAAGAAGCTTCTGTTTCTTCGGTGGAGCTCGTCTCTACCTTCACTTTGGACATCTTTACTGGTGTCCATCACAGGACTTTACCCTTCTGATACAGACTGGCAGGGTGAGCTCCAGGTCTTTGAGTGGTCCTGCAGACCTCCTGCACCTGGGCAGCCCTTTTGCCCTCTGCCACAACTGTTTCTGTGGGCGGTAATTCTAAACCAACCTTACAAATGCTTAGATATTTGTATTTATTGCATTAAATATGTTTCTCATATAAGTATTTACTGATACAGAGTGGTTGTATATTCTTAATCAGAAGCGTATATCCCTTAAGGCTTTGAGAATCCATAAAGGATGTGCAGTTATTCGGGGGTACATATGGGGCTACTATGAAGTATTATTTTTGGTGATGCAAGGATGCACACCACTAGCATAAGAGCAGAGTGGCTTATTTCTGCATTAGAGTCTGGGGCTGGAACCTTGAAGGACCAGCCTAATGGAACTGAATGTCTGTTCGCACTAGAGCACAGAAAATTGATTCTATTACTAGCTCCTCACTGCCAGAAGGGAAACTATTAATTGTAATTGTGAGACACCTAAAAAGATTTTAAACTGGTGCCTTTAATTGTCAACAAAGTAACACAGTGTCAGTTTTGATGGACAGAATATCCCATTAGCTCTCTCTAAAATGCAAAAATTTGATTATATTAAAAGCATACAGTTTTTATTATTAATCGGATCAATGGAAAATATCTTTCAAATGAGATTGGCAAGAAACAACAATGCACAAAGTATTAACAAGACAGGAATTTTAAATGATATTTTTGATGAACTATAATGTACAATTCATAAAGGTCAATAGTCATTCAGAAAAACAGGCATACAAGAGATGGGGGATGATAATTGTAAAACATTATGCTTCTCTGAACACATAAGTAAATAAATAATGGAACAGAATGTACTGTGAACAACAGATAACAGATACAAATATATTCCAGATATTTCAAAGAGAAAGAAAATTTGCAAAATCATTTTACGAAGTGAAGTCATAAAAAGGTAAAAGATATAAAAAGGGAAATAATTTCAGTAATATTGATGAGAAAATCAAAATCAAATCATACTTTAACTGAATATGATAGAGGCCCATCCACGGGCTTCAATAGTACCAAACTAATTCACTACTAGGAAACGTTAATTTAATTGAACATTCTGATAATTTTGGGTAAAAGTCTCTTAATAATAAAAAGTAAAACATTTAAATTACCACTAATAATCATTTCTTGAGAGAAGTATGTATACATGTAATTTAAAACTATGTAGCGCATCACCAACCTAGCAGGGAATTAGCAGAAGCTGTCCTAGTATAATTAGGAACTCGTAAAATTTCGCATTATATTTTAGGGACAAGACAATTTGGAATTAAAAATATCATTATTTTAGATAGTGATAAATTTGATAACACAAAAAGAATGAAATGTTCATGCTTAGGAAACCAAATCAAATGAAAATTGCTTAAATCAGTAAGTAAACTTTAAAAATAATAAGAAATATAAGGCACAGACAAAACAATAGCATTCATAAAATGGAAATGAGTTAAAATATAATGTAGGAGAAAACTGCATTTAAAATAAAGACGTACATGATATCTTAGAATAAACTAAAAAGAGATATAGAAACATATAGATCTATAAATCAAACAAAAATAAACATTGTTAATAAAATATTCTTAGGAGATTCAGGACTACAAACATGTCAATTTTAACTATTTAAAATCATAACATAAATAAAAATATATTATAATTTTATAATATGATTGCAATTAAAATAAAATTATAAATATATAATAAACATTTCTTTACAATCATAAAATGAGTTTTAGTGTACTTCACCTTAAAATATAGAACATATAATAAGAAGACAATTGTTTAGATTTTAGTGAAATCTTCCTGCCAAATATATTTTAAATGTCAAAGGAAATATAAAAATATGGGTAAAAAATACTTATTAATGATATAAATGTATATAGATTTATCTTACTAATACATATATATGTTATATATATATATATATATATAACATATATGAGGTATATAATAAATTTGTATCTCATGGAGTTCATGTGGAATAAGTTAAAAGTAATAATAGCAAGCAAAATAATAAGCACAATAAGTGAACTGAATAGTCAAAGAAAAAATAAATTTAAATATATGAAGCCATGTTTAATCTCCTAAGATAAATATAAAGTAAACACATGGTGTCATTTCTGAATCGTCAGCTAGTAATTAGTCTAAATTTTGACAGTCTGATGAAATGCAAACAAAAGTATAATATTAATAAAACTGCAAATATAAAAGTATTTATCTGGGATAATCCAGAAGTTTATTCTTTGACCAAGCCGTTTCATTTCTGAGATTGTGTCTAGTTAAATTACCAATGTACTTTGTAAGTAAAGTACATCTGAATTTTATGACTAGGACAATTATTCAAGAGAAAATAAAGTAAGAAATATTATAAAAATCTTACTATTAAATTGTATATTCAACTTTAGAAAATAATTTATTTTAAACAATTTTTTCATATGTGTGGGAAACATGCTCTATATTATGATAAGTGAAAATTCAAATGTTAAAAAGTAAATTAAAAAAATTTAAGAAGCAATGTGTGATTATTTACATTACTATGAGGAAATAAAATAAGACAAAGATAATACAACTTGTATAATTGCTTTAGATATGTATATCTTGTGACGTGTTTTATATAATTTTGACTCTTTCTTTCTGTCTTTCTTTTGTTCATTCTTTCTTTCATCTTTTTCTGTTTTTCATAGTGTTAAAGAATGAGCGTAGCATCCCCAGCATGCTAGGTGCAGAGTTTAGAGTATATATTTTAAAACCAGGAAGATAGTTTCCATTATGAGATGTAAAACTTATGTAAGAATTGAAACAACATGGTCAACAAAATGAATGAATATTGATGAAAACTGTGTCCTCCACAGTTTGTATAAAATTAAAGTACACATGCTTCCAATACAAAAAGAATAAAATTAGAGAAGTCTTTAGTGTAATTGTGACAATTGTTGTGTTATGTGCATATGATAACTACTTAACTTGAAATGTGGAAATAGAAGAGACACAATTGAAAACTATAAATGGATATAAGTAGCAAGTAAAAAAAAGAGGTAAATGTTCCTTCTCTAAATAACCACTTGGAAGTACATACTAAAATAATAAAAGACCAAGAAAAATTACTGCCTAAGACACAAAACAAAATTTAATACATCTATAGACAAATGCATCTATATGTGTCCTTTAACACAAATGAGAAAGTATTTTGACATATTTCCATCAAAGCAAACAATTCTAAAAATTCAGAGAACAATGTATAGTTTAAAGCAGCAGAGAAAATTGGTATAGAATGATTATTATAAAATGTAAAGAAATTTATACAGTATATGTAGTTTTTTAAAAAAAGATGTTAAAATATTGATCATGCCAAGATTTAATGATTGCAGTGTCCATTTAACACACCTGTGGAATAAGTTATCTTCTATGTAAAATGAATTTAGTCAAAAATCTCAGAAGGAAAATGAAAACAAATAATGTAAGCAACTCCTGATAAACTATGAACTAAAAAAATTCCAAGTGCACTAGTTGATAATAGTGATTATTCACTGACATATTTTAAGAAAATAAAGTTGATAATAGCACATTAGACAGAAAAGTATTTATAGCATAAATATAACATAAATGATTCAGAAATGATCATTTCATTTGTGAGAATTTAAGTGATATTGGTTATTAAAATTAGGTTTAAAAAACTATGATTGAAATAAATGTTATGACAATGACTACAATTGAACCCAAATCCAATTATATTTTAAGAATATCATTAGGGTTAAGAAATATGATAAGCAATATAAATTAATCATTTAGGTGCATGTTTCAAAATATATCAAGTAATATAAATTTCAACTAAAGTTTAAAAAGGGAGCATAATCAAATATTTCCTTCCTGATACTGAGAGGATATACATTGCTGCAATGACTCTTGTATAAAAGATCAAAAACATTAATATATTAAATAACATGTAATATTTTATTTACCTGGTATAAAATTAAAAAATAAAATTAAGTAGTACAAAAGTAACAAATAAAACATAACATTTATATATGTTATTATATATATATATATATATATATATATACATAAATAACTATTGAAAGTGATTTAATATATACAAGATAGAAAAAAGGAAAGTGACTAATCAGGATGTTTATTTTAGGGTGTTTGTGGTAAAGGACTCTCTGATGATGACAGCTGACAGATGTGCATTCAATATAGTGCAGAATATTTCAAAAAGGGAGACTAATATCTTATTCACTTGTGAATATGTGATTGAGTTGGAGCTAACGACTTGCTTGAATAGGCTCAGATCCACATGAATTAAGGAAATTAAATTGGGCTGATACTGTGACAGTTGTGGGCACCTAGGAAGTGTGTTCTGACAGCAAAATGCTGTGCTGTGTCTTCTTTGGCAAAGTCCCTGATCTTGACCCATGTTGGATGCTCACAGAAAGATACACTGGAAGAAGGGACAGTACCAGCAAAATCTACAGAAATCTGTCTTGAGGCTGAATCCAAGATACAAGGAGGGTACTATTTGGTCACAATAATATGTTAGGCAGTAGTATCACTTGAAATTGCCAGAGTTTCATCATTTTGAATGCATAAATACAAAAAACAGATACTTACAAAATGCTTACATGATACCCAATAACTCAGGTGAATGGCTAGAGGTGAAAGAACTCAGGTGAATGAGTTTCAGAGTTAACCAGGAAGTCTACAGCTATGGAAAGTTTATTAAATGAATACTTGCTCCCTGCTCTTAAAAAAAAAAAAAACAAAAAAACATTTTCTTCTTTCTCAAGCTTCTCCATCAAATGATAAGATTTTGAAAAGGGAAACAAAATAAATTTCTGAGCAAAAATATAGCACTTCTCTCAACTCCAGATGCCTAATGCAAGTGAGAAAATGAGTGAAGATAGAACTCACATACTTTTCCACTTAATGTCTTAGCGAAGATATGTTCTTATTACCTGGAGAATAAAAAGATGTAAAAATGATGATAAAAGTGCAATTTAAACTTCACCTAATAAAGTGAAACTTAAGAAAGTGCAAAGAATTTTAAGGAATTACAAAATGTTTGATATATTGCAAGCCCAATTGAATGGGAATAGTAAAATCATATTGTATTTGCACTATTCTGAGTTGAATCCACACT